CAAATTTGTAAGGTCAAATTGTAATTTTTGTTAAATGGAGGACCAAACTAAAATTTGCCATGAATCCATGAATATGATGAAATTATGACCATAATTAATTCTCAATTCTGTCCAGAATATCTTATTATACTCCAGGGACCATTCTGGAATTTTACCAAATTTTTAGGGTCAAATGATAATTTTTGTCAAATTGGATGACTAAATTGAAAGTGTTAAAATTTCATAACTATACAGTAATTCTGCCCATAATTCATATGTTATTCTGTTCAGAATCTCAGAATATGCTCAAGGGACTAATCTATAATTTTTTAAAGTTTGAGGACTAAATTGTAATTTTCATAAATTAAGGGACCAAAGCAAAATTTTATCATCTTCAACCTCCAACCCAGAATTTGAACATAAAACCCACTATTCTTTCCTTATTTTTAACATAAATTCACCATTCAAACAAAATCATAACTCAAAATTATCATCTTTCAATTCAATTTCTCAAAATCAACCAAAAAATCAAATATCCACAACAATTAACCTTATAACATTCAATTTAATTCATCAATTAAACCCAAAACACAAATTTTCAAAACCCTAACATTCATCAAAACTGAAATTAAAACTAAAAAAAACATATTATACAGAGTAAAACATAATCTTACCCTTTTTACTTATTTCCTCCAACTTCTTTCTATTTCCCTTTTAATTTCCCTCTTTTCTCTTCTTCTCTTCTTTCTCCCTTCTCTATCCTGTCGATTCTCTCTCAAATTTTCAGATCCCTCTTTTGTTTTTTTTCTTCTATTTATATTTATTATGTTTATCTAATTACCACACTACCTCTCATTCATTTATACTCTCTTTTTAAGCCACCAAGGACTTTGTAGCCTTTTCCTAACTCATTTAATTCAAAACATTACATGCTGCTTTATCAAATGCATTGAAGTATATCTAGAACATAAGAAAAAAAAACAACATGAGCTAAAATTAGAGGAACTTTAGATCTAGATATTATGAAACAAATAGAGTTTCAGGTCTTAGTAAAACGAATGTAACTTTCAAGGGTAACCATTTTACAAGAAACATAAAGTAATAAAGACTCCATATTTCATTTAATAATATACAACCAACCAATTTAAAGGAAACATTGTCATTGATGATAGTTAAACAAAAATATAGACTTCAATTCTCATGCAGGCACTTAGTTGACCATTTTAAAACTTTTATCTAATATAAGGCATCATCCCCCCTAAAAGTCAAAGGTAGAAAAGAGAATTTGCAAAACCATAAATATAAACTCACTATAATACATCTAACAAGGAGGCATGAGAAACATATGGTGGTCACATAACCAACTTGTTAAAAAACCAAGTAGAAAAACATAAAAAAAACTTGATAAATGAAAAAACCAGACAAGAAATGAATGAATCAAAATAGAATCACCAGATTTATAGTGAAACTCAAGGTAGGTATGAGACGGTGATTGCAACCAGATTGAGTGAGTATTTGCTACAAATAATATTTAGGTTTGTAGATCTGCAAATAAAAAAAATGTATCTTTAAAGAAAAACATATGGTAATCATATAGCAAACATGTTCAAAAACTAAACAAAAAACACATGATAGATGAAAAAAACCTAAATGAATGAATTAAAATAGAATTACTATATTTATAGCAAAACTTAGGGTGGATATGGGACAATGATCGTAACTGGATTGAATGAGCTTTTGCTACAAATAATAATTGGTTTTGTACATCTACAAAAGAAAACAAATCTCTAAGAAGAGTGATGGCTTGGAGATCTAGAGGCTATGGTGAAGAAAAAAAAAAGTTATAGAGAAACAGGTTACAATGTTGTGTTTTTTATAGGAAAAATAGTTTTGTCAAATATTTGTAATGGTATTAAACGTCCATAATTTCATTATTTGGATATTATCTCCTAACCAGCTTTTCAAGTGTAAAATTGGCAAAAAATGTTTTTTATTAGCTACAGCCATATCTTAATTTTAACGATGAGTCCACAAGTTAAACATCAATTTAATTTTATTACCAAACAATATTAAATTATATATGGAATAAACCATAACAACCATCATTGTACCAAATATACACTTTTTTTTTTTTACTGGCGTTGATGTTGCAAGGAAGAATGTCCACTTTATATTTGTGAAAAAGAACTTGAGTTTAAAAACATTTACTAATTCCATCTCTAGCTTTTTATCTCTTCACTTTTATCGTCAGGTTAAACATCATCTTACCATCATAAACTTGTAGAGTTCTTGAATATTGAATATTGGCTCATTCTCCTCTACCCACTCCATCTATCTTTATTTCATTATTTGAATTACTTATATGAAACACTATGAATTTGTTTGGTAATAAAAATAATTTTTTTATTTTTTTCTTTCTGAATAAAAAATTGAAAACTATGTTTATTTATCAAAAAATATCAAATGTTTTTTTCATTGAACAAGATTTTTTTTTTTAAAAAAACCCAATATCATAACTATTATAAAATAATCTAAACCAAAATTTATAATAGTGTTCTATTTATCATAATGTAATTATAAAACACTGTTTTTATTTCATTCATATTAAAGGACATCATAAGAACTACTTCCTATCTCTAAAAAAAAGAAATGGCATTTTATAAGAAACTTATGATAGAAAAATAAATTTATGACATTGATAAAAAATAAATAAATAAAATAAAATAAAATAATTTTAGAGTTTTATATTGCTAAAGGTGTTTATATGTTTATACATCACAGATAATATATATTATGTCTCTCTTTTCTCTTTTAGAAAGTGTCAAATTTTTAATTTGTTTTAACAAATGTTTTATCCTCCAATCATTATTACAAATGCATTTCAAAAATGGTGTTTTATAAAATTTTATTTTTTAATTTAAAATTATTTTTTTAATTTTTTAAACAGTTTTGATGTATTGATATAAATAATAATTTGTAAAAAATAAAAAAATATATATTATCTTAATATATTTTTAAGTTAAAATTATTTTAAAAAATTACTGTTATTATACTTTTAAATATTTTTTTTAAAAATAGTTAATTTTTTTAAATATTTACACGGATATCCATAAAATCATAATTCACTGCACTTTTACCATCTAATTTTTCATGTAGGAAATTTGCACATGGGGGATATATTACATTATATTAAGTATTAGAGGAAGGAAATTAAGCAATCCGTTGTAGTCTAGTTGGTTAGGATACTTGGCTCTCACCCGAGAGACCCGGGTTCAAGTCCCGGCAACGGAATTTTGTTTTTTCTGTTTTGTCCCAAGGAAGGGTAATGTGGTCACTTGAGTGAGCACCCTACACCAGGCAGGCAAGCAGATCATAGCACAAAACCCTAGTGGGTGTCCCTCACTTATATTTAATCTTCCTGTAGAAACAAGTTCCACAGCCTTTCCTCCTCCTCCTCCTCCTCTGCCTCCATCGAACCAGCCAAGCTCACACACCATCACAATGGTATTGTTATTATAGTTCTTTACTCTATCAAATCTCTTTCTACAGATGTTGTTAATTAATCTCTCTAACTATTTCTTTTTTCTAAAAAAAAAAAAGCAGGCTTCAGAGAAGAAGCTATCAAACCCAATGAGAGAAATCAAGGTCCAGAAGCTGGTCCTCAACATCTCCGTCGGTGAAAGCGGAGACAGGCTCACTCGTGCCGCCAAGGTGCTCGAACAACTCAGTGGCCAAACCCCGGTGTTCTCGAAAGGTGCGTGTCATTCTATAACTCTTTTTTTTTCTTGATAGTGCTTTTTTCTTAGTTGTTGATTTGTTTTTTACTGTTTTTTAATGAGCAGCTAGGTATACTGTGAGATCTTTTGGGATTAGGCGTAATGAGAAGATAGCTTGCTATGTGACTGTGAGGGGAGACAAGGCTATGCAGTTGCTTGAGAGTGGGTTGAAGGTGAAGGAGTATGAGCTTTTGAGGAGGAACTTCAGTGACACTGGGTGCTTTGGTTTCGGCATCCAGGAGCACATTGATCTTGGAATCAAGTGAGTCTTTCCCCTTATATTTATGGTTACAATCTTTCCCCTTATATTTATGGTTACTTGTTGTATCATGGATGTCTTTTATCTCTTATTTTGAATTATATTAGTATTACTTGTGACCCAGTTGAATATGAGGCTTGAACATTATGCCAATTTTGAAGGTTTAGGCTAGAATACTTGTGGTTTAGATGGTGCCTCTAGTTTGCTGAAATGGGTTTTATGGAATGTTGCAACCATGGCTCATGAAACATGGTTAGCTTTGTTTGTGGATTAACTTTTTTTTTTTTTTAGTGTGGACATAGTTCTAGGTTAGGTTTCTAAGTTTTTTTTGTAACTCGTATTTAAATATGATTTGGCAATTCTAGACTTAAATGGATTTTCAAGAGGTCTTCTATTGTGCATATACACTGAAGGAAAAATTGTGCTTATCCTGATGCTTGGGTCATCATTTGGAATTTTTTGATGTTGGAATGAAGATAGACGATGTTGTAGATGGAATATTGATCTTGAAGATAACATTTGTTTAAGTTGTAGCAGCATTCAAGGCTCAAGCTATGCCATATTGTTAGTGCTAGTTTGTTTTGGATTTATTTTTTTCCTGTCCATGGAGGCATCCATGAAGGATAATTTGGTGATACCTAACTACCTCTTTCGCAACACAGTTATGCCCGACTCCTTTTATCTAGCATTGGAAATTAGCCGGACAGGGTTTTTTTTTTTCTTCCAATAACTTGACCCAGTACTGTATTGTATATGCTCAGCATAATGGTTTATCATCCCTTCTCAGGTATGACCCTTCCACTGGTATTTATGGCATGGACTTCTATGTTGTTTTGGAACGTCCTGGGTACCGTGTTGGTCGTCGTCGCAGGTGCAAGTCACGTGTTGGCATTCATCAGAGAGTTACAAAGGATGACGCGATGAAATGGTTCCAGGTCAAATATGAAGGAGTCATCCTTAACAAATCCCAGAATATTGGATCTTAGATCTTTTCCTGACTTTTTTAAGTTTAAAGCTTGGGAAGTCAACCTTTGGCAGGTTTTTATGTACCTGGAGTTATAATTTTCGTCTAGAATTTCTTGAAGTGGTAGAGAATCTGAAGCTCTATGTTTTTGTGTTCTTGTGTCGCAGCTTGTGTTTTTATCAATATAATTCTGTTCGATTATGCAGATATCAAGCATCCAGTATTCCCAATCAAAATCAATGTGGTTTGTTTGTCTATAATAATTGTGAACTGAGCAGTTGTAGATTCCTTGTAGGTCTTCTAGGTCAGTGGAAAATGATGGCTTTACCTGTCTGATTTGGAATGCAATCGAGTTGAATTGGGTATGCAAATGTTTATGTTTTGGTCTTACCTTGGAAGAATTACATTGATAATGATATTGAAATCTTGTCTTCTGGATTGGGAAATCGTTGTCGCTGGAATCAATTTATGGGCCTCAATCCATTAATCTGGGATTTCGCCCATTTTTATACTATGTGTTTTTTTTAATGTTAGATTAGGAATCAAATCCAAGACCTTCCTCTTCTCCACTGGAATAATCTGTGTCCTCCTCACAGTCAACTGGTTATCAAATCCAAGTGCTGTATGCATTCTTAGAACTAACAAGGGCTTGTTATGGCTTATTATATGTTTTTCTATGGGTTTTTAGAGCGTACAGGGATTGTTGTTGTAATGATAGTTTTATACTTTTGTATTTGGGTATGCACTAGAAACAAGGGCTGCTGGAACAACTCTACTCTATGGATTAATGGGCAGTTACAAACAGCCTGTGAAAGTTTGGGCTGTCATAGGAATTTAGGATTGTTATGACAGCCGTAACATGAAGTAAAAAAAAAAAGAATGTTATGGAAAATGGACTGTTAAGGCAGCCTATATTCGTGCTGTCATGATAGCCCAAATGCAAGAGATTCAGAGCTGATACAATAGTTCGGTTTATTTTCAACTCGGTCATGATAGGAGGCTCCTGTCAATGCTTGTCCTCACAAGTGGAAATGAGGGGCTGCCATGGTAGTCCCAATGTTCAAGAAAGGACTGTTACAAAAACCTAAAAATACATGAACGTAGGCTCCTGTGACTGACTATTAGTAACTGCGAGCAGTCACGAACTAATTTATCCATTTTTAAATGCCTGAAACAAATTAAGTTTATATGTATGTATGTATCATGCGAATTATGCATTTTGGATGGGAAAATAATACTACATAAATTATCCTTACGAGGCAAGAAATAAATAGTGTGAATTATGCCTATAAAACAAAAAAATAAATTTTAAGTGTATTATGTCTAGAGCGCATGAAATTAATGTTATGTGAATTATACTTAAAAGAAAAAAAAAATGATGTAAATTATGCCTTTGGAGTAGTAGATTTATATTATATAAATTATGAATAAAAGGGCTAAACAAATCTATGAAGTAGATCAAAGTATTGAGCTGAGCTAAGTGTAAGGATGAAATTAAAAAAAATCCATATATTTAAGTAAAATACGAGTGATGAATATTAATATGAATAGATGAATTCAATCAAGTTTAGAGAAATCTGGAAAGTTAGCTTAGTAATCCGAAAGGTACAGTGGGATCTTGGAAGCACCCTTTTCACAAAGGAAGCAAGCAAGATGTCATCCAGATTTGCCTGAATTCAATTAAAAGCTTATTTGTTTTTATAATTCAAAAACGTTAAAAACAAATTTTTCTTTATATTCTTATATAAAAAATAAATTTTAAAAGATAAAAATATTATTTTTATATATTTCTAAAAAAATATATATTAAAAAACAACAACCATAACAAATACACAGTAACAAATGAGCTCTAGACATGTTTATAAAGAAAACGTAAAACAAAATTAAAAAATCTGTGGCTAAAATAACATAGGAACTGCATTTAGAACAATTAGTTCTTGGAATTTAAGTTTTATGCTGCCGTGTTCGTTGGTTTCCAGCAGCTAGTTAGCTCGTCTTCCGGCCCAAGAACTTTCCATTTCTCAGGACCTCAGCAACTCCAGAAGCTCACCCTTCTTCAGCTTTGAGTAACCTTTGATTCCCCTGGACTTTGCTAGTTCCTTCAGTTCAGTCAGTTTCATTTTCTCTACTCCAGGCAGCTCTAACTTGTGGTTGCTGGCTTTGCCCTCTGATGCTTCACTATTCAGCTCAGTAGTGTTCTCTCTTGGGGTTGATGGAGATGGTATTGGGGACTTCTTTGTGAAATTAGACGGTGGTCTGGTTAACTTAACATCTTCCAAGGCATGCTCTGCTTGCATCTTCTGGTCCTTCGACGCACTTCGTTTTTGTGTCAGGACCTTATTTCCTTCCCTGACTGTACTTGGGCCTGTCAAAATTATGGAACTCCAAATCAGACATTTAAGTGAGTAAACAAAGCACACGCATGGTGGTAGGAATGCTGCGAGCAAGTTTGATAATGATGCTAACCATTCAGGGGAATGAGAGATTTAAGGAAAGAATCATGAAATTTTCTTGTGGAACTGTGTGCTGTCTACTAGGGTTTCAAACATAAACAACAGAGAAACTAAGGGTACTGGTTTTCTTTTTAGATGATAGTATTCTCGTGAAGAAAAAACACTTGGAACTTAAAAGATCATTTCTCCTTGAAACTGCAAGTTAAATGGTTATATCTACTAACAAACACTGTTCTAGAATTGAAAGAAGCATTTCTATCTAGATTACCTTTTGCATCCTTCGTTGAATGGCGAAGAACTTCCAAAATGGAATTGGTTGGGGAATTCTCCTCGGACCTGCTAGCTTTTTTCTTCTTGGTGGCTGTAGACTCTCCCTTTGAGATTGAAGACTGTATTCGTCTGAACAAGGCCATTATCTCCGCCTGGTTAGATGACATAGGTTGTTTTCTGTCAGAAGATTGGGACTTTGAATCCTCATCCTCCTTTTCTGTTCTTCCTGGTGCAGAACTTTTCCGGGGAGGTCTGCCTTTGCTACTTCCATCAGACTTTATGCTTGAAACACTAAATTGAAGCACACCATTATGTGATGACGCAAAAGCTAAGGAACCATCTGCAATCTCAGGCAAATTTAACAAGCTGCATCAAAAGATGAGCTCTCAGTTTGAAGTTCAAAAAATTAATTGGCCCAATACTAACACAAAGCGTTGATAGCCAACATTCATGACAAGTCAATGAAATTACGAGGAATGAAGTCTAGGGAAAAAAGGGGGCAAAAAAATATGTAAAAGCAAACATGCTAAACGTCTCGCAATGATCTGTTTCTGAATTGCAATCAGTTTAAAATATTAAAGCAGTTTGTACTGCTGGGAGTTTCATCACCAAGGGGACTAGAGGATTCTCCACCACTCTAAGCAAAACGAGAAAAACCACTGAAACAAGCATAGGAGTACCGAAATCTCAAGGGTTGGGAAATGCAATATTCTTGACTAGATCGCATTCAGCGATGAGTACTGTAATTATCACGGAAGCTGTACTGTAATTACCACCAGACATTCTAATGCCAGACACTTTCATGGGCCATCAAATTTCATGAGTGAAACTCAGGCTTAATGCAAGCTCACCAACACTAAATGAATTCATCCAAGTCCATACAAAACCCAATCGCATACTAGCATTTTCCAGGACACAAGAAATGAAAGAGAGAGACATTTGCAGCCTTTACCATAAATCTCAAAAACTCAAATCACATATTGCCTCATGTTGAGGGAGTCCCAAAACTTTCAATTCATGACATGGTGGACACCCATCAAGCACAAGTATGTATGGAAGAAAGAAACAGAAGAGAAAAAAAGGAAAGACTGAAAAAAGCAATTTAACATGCATCAGATCTATCCATATGTAGTTTTGTCACACAACAACTTGAATGATGATATGCCCATTCATTCAAAACAAAAGGTCAAACTAGCAAATATAAATTAATGGAAAGTGAGTACCAAGGAGATGATACCTATAAGAGAGTAAAAGGGGCACCACAACTTGAGCTGCTTGCTGAAAGAAACACAAGGGGGTTTGTTGAAGAAAGTATTTTGAGGATAGAAAACAAGAGTTGAAGCCATCCTTCCCAGGAAAACTTTGAGATTCTGAGAATGCAAGTGGATTAGATCCACAGGTACTCTTATATAAGACCACCACCTGTTGGAGTAGAGTAGTTGATTTCGATGGTGGCTAAAACTAGCTAGGCCACCTCCCACTTTAGCGCGTGGGATTCACATGCCATTTTGGATACCCGAGTTGACATCAAAGAAAAAGCTGTGCCTTTTCTTTTTTGTGTTAAAAACTTCAAAAAAAATTTTGCCCCAGTAACCCAGTTATAGCTCTCTTCTGATGAGGGCGAGGGGACGGAATTTATATAAATATAAAGAAAGAGAATGGAAAGTCTGAGGCTGTTCTCAATGAGTTTCTTCTAAGGTGGAACTTTCCCGCCTTCATCCACTTCCAATGTTGATTTTAATGGCCAAAATGGCTACACCAAAGTTCTCTCTCCAAATATCAAAAGCAGCAGAGGAAAACACTCTTCTGTGTTCAAAGATGTGTTCTTTTTCAATAAGCCAAATCCAAAGTTCACTCTTTTATCTTCAAATTTACACTTTTCTCACGCAACAGTACCCATCCCACCCTCATCAACCCAAGCCAAATATAACAGAATCACTGACCGGAACAAAAATAAGTAAATATATGCATTTTGTGAAACGTGTAATCTTGATAAGGTAATAGAACCGCTTTACATGTCTCCAAAGAGTGAAATCGAGTTAAGGACCTGTTGTTCTATATTGAAACTTTGTGCAGAGCTTGAGTCTTGACAAAATGGGTATGCAAAGATCGGTGATTTCCAAGAGAGTGTGTGTTCGCTTTGGCAGATGTTGGATTAGGGTGTTGAAGTTAACTGTCACCCAGTTTGTTTGTTGAATGCTGAAGTGATTTGGAGATTCAGGAAGTGTGAAGGAAGGTGAATGGGCTCATGGGTTATTGTTAAAGTTGGGTTTTGGTTCTTACATTGCTGTTATTAATTCTCTCATTGTTATTTCGTGGAATTCGACGATACGTATATGTGTGGCATATGGTCTCCCCGAGAAAGGAGTAAACTCTTCAATTACATGATAGTGAGATGCATTTTTTTTAATTTAGAATTTTTAGATAAATTATATGTATCTTTCTCCGAACTTTAAAGTTAATAAGTATATAAATTTTTAATAATTTTAAAATTTATAATACTTAAATTAAAAAATTTAATTATAATAATTGATGTTTTTTCAACTTGTGTTATCTTAATAATATTTTATATGATAATTATGTCAGGTTTCTTGAAAAATAAAAACAATAAGTTTAAAATTTGTTTTAGAGTTTTATTGTTTAAAGTTTATATAATAATTATTTGAAAACCATGTTTTTTACATTGAATAATTATTTCAAAATAAAGTTATCATAGAATATTACTCATTCAAATATTTAATTTTTAATGAAAATTCACGTGAATCAATATACTATGTTAATTTTTTATATCACATATTATTTTAAAATAATTTTAGAAATTTATTCATTCAAGTTCATACTTAATTTTTATAAGAATTGTAATTTATTATATTAATTATATTATTGACACGACTAAAAGATTGATGTCTTCTCCCAAATGCAGGAGTGTCGAAGTAATAAATAACCTGGCAAGACCGGGGTCGAAC